ATTTATTATTTTTATTTTATGTGTATGCATGTACTGCCTGCATGTAGGTAAGTGCACCCGTGTTGTGCAATGCCCATGGAGGACAAAAGAGGTTGTCGGATGCCCTGGGACTGGAGTTACAGACAGTTGTTAGTTGCCATGTGGGTGCTGGGATTTGAACCCGGGTCTTCTGCAAGAACAACCAGTGTTCTTAACCACTGAGCCATCTCTCCAGCCCCTGCTACACACTTTGTAACCAGCCTAACAACAAAAGAACCTCAATCCCACAGCCTTTCTGAATCCTCATTACTGCTGGCCGAACAAATCCCATTAATTATCCCAGATCCTTCTTTTCCCTTCATTGCTGGCCATCCACAAGTCTTCATAGTTCAGTTCTCAAAATACATCTTTTATACATCTACTGGTTCCCATCCCCAGTCCTACATCCAGAGCCCTGTCCCCCCTTCCCTAAAGCCATCTCTAACCCATGGACTTTCTCAGCCACTTGGGACTTCGTGATCCTTGAAATGCATCTCAGGGCCTTTGCACTGCAGTCTCTTTGCCTGGCTCTTCTCCCCCCATCTACTTAGGGATGGTCCTGCTCACCCATGACTTCCTCTGAGACAAACACCATTTTAACACCCTCTGTTCATCCCTCACCTGGTCCCCTGGTTTCTCTTTGCAGTAACTGCTGCTTCTCTCCCTCCTTGGCTTTGTTTTTACTGTTCTTGCTAGTGGCTTGAGGCTGAGGAGAAATCCATAAGTCAACATGGAAAGAGACAGGACTAAGTCATGTCCTGGGGGCAGGACAGTGTCCTCACTCCTATAATTTGCTGATGGAAGCTGAGGCTCCAGAGGGAGATTTGACTTGTCCTGGGGTATAGAGAGAGCCTCAGGGCAGAGCTGAACTCCAGGTGCTCCTGACAGGTCCTTGGCTCCCCTCATACCCAGGCTAGGAAAGATTTGCTAGAACAATGGAGAGAACAGCCCTGCTCAGTCCAAGGGTGGCCAGAAGGGCAAGATATGACCGTCACTTCTGACGTCACACGTAGGCAGCCTCAAAGTTTCAGCTTGCCCCAGTACTGCATAGAACCCGCTGCACCTAGAACATGCCCCACGTGTTCCTAACTCTGAGAGGCTGACACTCAGAGAATGAGTCCTCATCCAAGCCCTCCAGCCCAGTCTTCCTCCCTACCCCCAGCTCCTCCCCAGGCCTACCTCTCACAGGGTGGTGGTAGGGCTTCCTGGGACCCAAGGCCCAGCCCCAGCAGAAGCAGCAGGTGCAGCTCCCAGGTCATGGTGGCTGTGGCTGGGCCTGAATGAGCACCTCTGGCTCGCTGGGCACAGCTATTTCACTTGCTTATTCAGGTCAGCCAAAGTCCAGACCTTGAGGCGTGGCCACCTGAGGGGATACAAGCTTTGTCTGCTGTGATTTCTTGCCACTCCTGTTCTCTGGTCACAGTGGCCACCACCTCCATCAGCACCCAGTGGTTTTTACTTCTTCCGTTTCTCAGTCTCTGTGGGTGTAACAAGCTCAGGCCCTTTCCTCAAAGTCATGTGGACAGGGTTGTGGAATGGATACTAAAGGGCCAGGGGCACAGTTAAAGTCACTCATGTATGAGTGAGATGCCAAGTCCATGAGTGGTCCCCAAATCACAAAGGTCAGAAGGAACCATTTCCTTTAACATTTCAAGCAGAGTGGCTCAAGTGGTCCCTAGTGTGATGTCAAATGCAGAGACCCTCACTATTATTTACAGGGGACATTGTAGGGACATGGGACAGCCTTTCACAGGGTGGGTCAAGAAGACCCACCCAGTGGTGACATCTGTAGTGGGACTTGAAGGTTGCTTAGGAGCATGCCAAGAATGCCAGCAGGAGCCCATTCCAGTGTATGAAGAGTGGCCTGCTAAGGGGGCAGTGAGGTCAGTGGGATCCAGACTTGATGATGGTGTAGGGGAGGTTGTGTGACAGGCTGGAGGGATGAGCTGGCACCAGTCTATGAATGGGCTTTTCCAAGACAGAGCAACCATTTCCATAAAGAGGAACCAGCCGAGAAGTTTGTGGGCTGAAGTGCTAGGTTAGGCATGCTTTTGAAATCTCAACCCTGGGCATGATAGCAGATGAGTGGCAGGGCAGGAGGGTGGGCAGAGCCCTTAGGAGGCTAGTGTAAGGACACAGCAATATAAGCCATTCAAGACTCTGGCCCAAAACAAGGGGAGAGGGTGGGCCAAGGGCCCCAAAAGGAGCTCTGGCACCTGGCACCTCTGAGCTCCATCATTGGCATGTCCTCCCCCCATAGCATTGAGGCTGGCGGCCTTCTGGATAGTGTTTGTCACTGTTAAAAGGACACATTGTGTTTAGCAATGGTTATTTGAGCAAAGAAAAGATTCAGGAACCAGGCAGCACCTCAAACCAGCAAAGGTTCACAGAGCCCCACCCAGAGGCCTGCAAGGCACAGCAGAAGGAAGTGATGTACAGTGAGAGCCTGTCCAGTTATCACTGGACATTTGCCTTATTTGGACTAGTCTGGTCAGTTTGCAGCCCACGATTGGTTGAAAGCTCAACTGCTCTGATTGGCTACTGGTTAGGACTATCCTCACTAGTTAGGATGCTCCGTTCTTACTTATTAAGTTTGGCTATAGCTTTCAATGACACAGAGGTAGTTTTAGGCCAAATTAAAATTATTTTTTATTAAATTAAAAAAAATTATTTAGCCAGGCGTGGTAGTGCACGCTTTTAATCCCAGTGCTTGGGAGGCAGAAGCAGGTGGATCTTTGTAAATTTGAGGCCAGCCTGGTCTACATAGTGACCAGGACACTATGGTCTACATAGTGAGTTCCAAGACAGCTGGGGCTACAGGGAGACCCTGTCTCAAAAAGACAAAAAAAAATTATTTATTTAATTTCTAAAAAGTATTTTATTTATTATTTTTATTTTATGTGTATGTGTATATTGCCTGCATGTAGGTAAGTGCACCTGTGCTGTGCAATGCCCACGATGACAGAAGAGGCTGTTGGATCCCTTGGAACTTATGGAAAGTTGTTAGCTGCCATGTGGGTGCTGGGATTCAAACTCGGATCTTCTGCAAAAAAAAGCCAGTGTTCTTAACCATTAAGCTATCTCTCCAGCCTGTAACATTTATTTTTATGAGTGTGAATGTTTTGCCTGCACGTATGTAAGTGCAGCATGTGCATGCAATACCTGTGAAGACCAGAAGAGGACGATGGATTCTCCTGGAACTGGAGCTATGGGCAGTTGTTAGCTACCATGTGGGTGCTAGGAACTGAACCCAGGTCCTCTGCAAGAGCAGCCAGAGGCAGGCATATCTTGAGGCCAGCCTGGTCTACATAGCGAGTTCCAGGCCAGCTGTGGCCAGGGAGGTCCCTGTCTCAAAAAAAGACAAAAGAAAAAAAAAAAATAGCAGAGTGATCTTGACCTGCCATCTTGAGGAAGCAGACAACTTTCCTGATCATCTTTACCTTAAGAACCCCAACAGATCAGGACAGTGCCAGGAATATAGGAACATGGAGGGACCCTTTTGAATTGAGGGACAAGGATCTGTGATTCCAGACACTAAAGCTTAGCTGCAGAGAACTTGGTATTTTCCCCATTCAATGAAGTTCAAAGGCAGGCGCTCTCTGGTGCTGTTTCCAAAAGACCTAACGTTCCAAAAGACCTAAAGCCCAGGTGTCACCAATTGGTCAGTCACAAAGAGCAACTGTATTTTTATGAAGGGGTATTGTTTACTTATGAAACTATATGCAATCATTTGCAAAAGGATTTAGTTTATGTCTAGATCTTTCTTTTATTTTAGGGACTTGTTCTATTTTTTATTTATGTGTGTGCACATGTGTGTGCATGCACATTTGGGTGCCCTCAGAGGCTAGAAGAGGGCATCAGATTCCCTGGAACTGGGTTTACAGGTAGTTGTGAGCACCAATGTGGGCCTGTGGAAGAGCAGCAAGCACAATGAGTCATCTCTCTGGTGCCTGTCCACATATTTCTTAATGTAGCCTTTATGTATTTTAATAGAGTATCTTTTACTTACTCTTTGCCAATTTCTTACATTTAAACACTGAATCTTGATCATATGCATCCCAAACTCCATCCTTCCACTCCTCCAGACACTCCCAACCCCCCTCCCCTATGAGGGCCTTTTTCTTTCTTTTTTCTTTTTGGTTTTTTGAGACAGGGTCTCACTATGTAGCCCTGACTGGCCTGGAACTTGCTATATAGACCAGGTTGGCCTTGAATTTATAGAGATCCACGTGCCTCTGCCTCTCGAGTGTTGGGAATAAAGACATGTGCTGTCATGCCATCTCCAGTGAAGCCCGCGTGAGATCCTCCGTGGGTTGAGGCTGGAACTTCAAGGAAGGTTGCCTCTTGGAATTGGCCGTGCTAAAAAATATGCAGTGTACTTGGCGTGCTTTTACTTGCTATTGTCCTTCTGACTGTCACCGTATCATGGGCTTTCAGGGGCCCGGAAAGCACCTGGTGTCCTTGACACCACTGTCACTGCCTTTATTGAAATCTTTTAATTATCCTAGTATGCAGGAAGAGTTCTCAGGAACTCAATCACCTGGGACAACTTTGCCTCCAGATGCATCACTATTAATGAAAGCCATTTTAGATGCAGCAAGAAGTAGCTAAGCAAAATTAATGCTGGAAAGTCCAGGAAATAACGGATTTCTAGAAGAGAGCATAGATGAGTAAATATAGATAGAAGAAGGGTTTCTTGGTATTCATTACAATTCATGGATAAATTGGCAAGATCAAGACCACCTTGGTGTCTTTTGATAAAAATCAACAAGAGAGCATTAAAAGGCAACTACAGACTGTATATGAAAGTTGGAAAAGATAGGAGGGAAAGATAGTTACATAGGTCCTAACAAGGGATGATTTTTTAGGATCTAAGGGGTTAAGGAATGACTTAGAAGCCCGATGGCCCACTACAAATAAGCAAGGAATGTTATCAAATAGTTAAAAATGTAATATCA